GGCCACACTCCTTTCAATGTATGAAGAGTCAGCGCCTACTATGGCTCCTTCTGGGAGAAGCAAACAACCTTATACCGGTCCATTGGAAACAAAATGTACCACCCACAGCCAAACAATGGATAGAAAGGGTAGAGCACATGAGAGAAATGGAAATGCTACATTGGTCCACAATAGGCAAATACACTACATACCTAAACATATGGGAACCATGGCTAAAACACTGGGCACTAGTACAGAATAATCCACAATAGACGGAACAGTAGTAACAATAAAAGATACCTTGTACCTCCCCCCCCCTCCACCCACTTCCCATGTATATAGTACTTCCCCGCTCTCCCCACCATTCCCTACCCCCAACCTTTCTGGGGACACTAGTCACCAACCCTGCACCAAGGTTTCGTGTAATACAGAATGATGAGACAATATCAGCAGTACCAATATGCAAAGAACAATGGGGATTGATGTATATTTGTCTATATTTGTCTATATCGACATTGCTGTATAAAATGTACGAATCACAACCGCATACCTTACCCTCCCTTCTTGCCTTCTGTATCCCCGTTATACGTTGTGAAATAACAATAAAACTCGAATTAAACAAAAAAAAAGTCTAAAAGAAGATAACCGTCTTGCAACGATATTACTGTGAGGGAGATTGAATAACAAAAATAAACACATTATGTTAATAGTATTGTAGCTATTTTCTCTTTCTCTTATTTTTCATTAATTTGTCTCTTTTGGAGATATTCAGTTAATTATTTTTATGGTTGATAATTAATGAGGGTTATGCCTTGACAGTTCTGATGCTGTCTTCCTAGCTGGGATTCAGGAGACTACTAGTAGGTATGTTAAACCTGCACCAACCATATTAAAACTCTATACCCACAGCAATACCACCAAACTGTACTGCATAATTAACTCCATATATGGTGCATAAAATGTGGAACTGTCTTCAATTATCATTTTTTATTTTTAGTCTTCTCTATAATATTGAGAGAGAACGGACAACTCCACTTAGGGCTCCTGCCCAGGTTGGTCTTCTCTTCATCTAAGCTGAAGCTCAAATACATCAAATATATTTCTTCACTTTTCATTTAGTGCTGCAGATCCTGACTTTGAATTTCTGTTTCCCTAATCAACAGTGGAGAGATTTTCCTTATCAAACTTGTTAATGACCTGTAAACCCTGAAGCCATAATACTCTGCATTTAGAACTCGGTGTTCTGATTTTATTTGGATTCTTATCTAATGTCAGATTAAGTTGATTAAAGCTATCATTATTTATATAGACACAAAAAAAGAAATGGGATAATGAGAGGTCAAGGCTAATCAAACATACACAGTAAAGGCAACTTTATTGCAGAGTTTAACTTGTGGACCAATAAAAAAGCTATAATATAAGATACGTCCTGTTTACAAAGTATCCGTATTTAGTGGTTTCTTCTTTAATGATAAAACCTTAATTAACCATCTGTACTTATAAAGAAGGTCTTACAGCACTGCTCTTTGGTAGTCAGGACGTTCCATCCACTCTTTTACCATTACTAGTTTGCGTATGATAAAAAACATTGTATCTGCCTCTCCTACCAGTCACTTCAGTTTACAATATAGTCCAGCATAGTAGTATACAGAGATTATACCAAACGTTACAAGAGATGAGTGAGCTCCTGTCTAATCTAATTTTCTTGTTCTCATACAACAGATTTCCCAGAACAGATCACTGTCTGTTCTGCTGCATACCGAAGTATCAAGAGTTTTTAATTATTGTGCCCTTATATTGCAGGATGATATTAGCATGCCATTAACAAGTCATTGCATACTTTTAGATGGACTGGACTAGTGCTTATGAAATGAAAAACACCTCCTTCCCCTATGGTTTTATAGACATCATTCCTCTCGTTTTTATTATAACCACTGCTTTACCTGTTTTATTTTTTCTAACCTATAAGATCCCTATCTGCATGCGTACTCACAGAGGCCTTATCTCAGGTGACTTGTGGTGTAAGGTAGCTACAGGGATTGTGTCTGAGCAAGTTCCGATCAAACCTGATTCCCAGTAGATTGTGATGATGTGGTATTTTGTAACACGTCATCAAAGTGCAAATGTTACCTGGGACCTGAATGAAAATGTATAGTGTGTGTGTACATAGGAGTGTAGTAATTGTAAAGGGGATTAAATTAATAATGATTTAAAAACAAATATTCATTCTTCCTTTCCTGTTGTTACCTAATCTGGTCTGCTCCTCCACTGGGTACAGACCATGCGTAACTGTCTTGCAAGCTCAGGGACTTGCAGTGTCCTCTGGTAATCTGCAGCAGCTCTCTGAATATCCTGAGCTAGGAAGACAGCTTATGGTCTGCAGCCAACAGAAGTGCAGGCAAGAAGTGCCAGACTGCCTCCCTTATATTACAGAGGAGCAGACTAAGTATGTCACATAATACTGTGAGTGGTTTTGCTTTGGAGCTCTGGATTATACTTATTTACCTTGAACTCTTTGGAATAAAAATTTGTAGTAATGCGCTACTTCTCTATTTATCACAGAGCTTCACAACAATAAAACTCCCAGTAATGTTGAGCTCTGTGACAAGATCATACACTACACAACAATACAACTAAGTAATGTGTCTACTAGTGTATCACCGAGCTCCCTAACTATAAAACACAGAGTAATGTGCATTTTATATACCAGAGCTCCACTGTAATACATCTCACTATAATATGATGTAATGTTTGTGTTGTCTGTGTATGTGATAGGTGTGATGACTGTGTGTGATATGTATGCTATGTGTTTACTGTGTGTGATATTTGTAATGGGTGTATTAACTGTATGAAATGCGTGTATTGGTTGTATGTGATATTTGTGCTGTATTTATTGGCTGTGTGTGATGGTTATTTAATTCAGATAAAAATATGCATTTAGGGCTATGTGTGAATGCATGTGTATATTTTTGCAGTTATGTGCACACAGTACCACAGTCAAATGCACAAAGTTATACATATAGAATGTCACATCCACCACATGCACACAGTATCAGGCAGAAACACACAGGTACAGGCAGTAACACAGTTACAGGCAGATAAACATACTCACACACACACACACAGGCAGGCAGTCACACAGACAGCCATACACACAGGCAGACAGCCACACACACACAGAGGCAGACAGCCACACACACACACAAGCAGACAATCACACATAGTTACCTCTGTTCATTATGGAGGAGTGGAGACAGTGCAGCTCCTGGAGACTGGTTGTTGGGGAAGCAGGGTCTCCTTCCTGCTTCCCCTGCAGCAGTTACCCGGCACTTTTAGCCCCGCTCCCGCCATCATTTTAGCTCTACCTCCGCTGCACGGGAAGCTCTGCCCCGCAATTTTTTTTTTTGTGTGCGAGCTGTGTCGGCCACATGGCGCCCTGTGCGGCAGCATAGCTAGCACACCCCTAAGGCTGGCCCTGATCCTAGGTTCTGTTTGGCTACTTCACCTGGGAGGGTGCCAGGACTCTCCTTATATACTAAATTACAACCAACTTTAATACTAAAGTTGGTTATAATAGTTATGGTTCTTGAATAGTTATGGTCCTTTAAACTTACTTTTCCCCATCTAGGGAAGTTCAGAAGAGGTTTATATTCACTCTCCAATCACTAATCTGAAATAAATATGTATTCGATATATATATATATATTACATAACGTTCTAGCAGAATTAATGCACCTATTGAGAATAAAATGTATCATTCAAAAGCATTAGCAAATCTTAAATTGATATATGTAACATTTCATAAAATACAACAGCTTTAGTGAAGGTACTGAAAAAATAGATCTCTATCCACACATATAAATAAATGACATTTATTATACAGAGGGAAATTTTTCTTTAAGATAAACTGTAAAAAGATTTATACATTATTACAAAATGAAAATAGTAAAGGACCTTGAAAAAATACACCCCCGATCTATGCAGCAGCAAAAACAATAAAACAAGAAAAGAAACTCTGCTAAAAAGTACAGAAAGCCAATAGTTTGAAAGTCAAACATAGTGTATGTACTGTAGAACAGGTCACACTGTCATCCTAGAAAAGAGAGATTTGTTTTCCGTATAGATGGATTATCATGATAGTTAAGAATTCGCCCTATTTGTCATGTTCTTACATAGTTTTATTGTCTGGGAAAAAGACACTTTTCTGCACAGTTGTACTGGTCACACTCTGAGCGGTCATGATTGGTACTTATTACTGTAACTATGGCGGCAAGAAGTTCTTTAAATAAAACCTCTTCCCACGGTTAACTAGTTCTGCATTATGCTGTTGCGGAGTCTTTTAACAATGTACATCTTTGTTTCGTGCCAGGCATAGAACTTAACTTGCTATTTATTTTAATATACTCTATTTAAATTTATAAATGATATGTTTATTACAACATTCTATATTTAAAGGGTAGGTTTTTTTACTTGATTGTGTTAGCTTGGAAACTGAGTTTGAACCAATCAATACCAGATGCGAGACCTCAACATTTATTGAGCTTCTTCTTTAAATGTCTTTTGTATTGAGCACACATTGAACATCTAGTGCCATGGCATCTTAATTCCAGCCTTCCTATCCGGTACACTTTTTCCCTAGGCATGGTAACATTATGGTACCTGAAACCTTTAAATCATTTTCTACTGCATGATACACGTCTACTGCATGATGCACGTAAACACAAGCCCTGTCTCTTTTGCCTCTTATTTCCTTGCCATTGGGTTTTGGATGTGCTTGGTGCTGGAAGTTCTATCGCCATAGTATATATTCTTGAGATCCATTGTGAAACACAGCCATTCAGAAAAAAATCCTAGAAGGAAGTATTCAGAAGGACCACCTTCATTCAGTATCTTTAGTGATAGGCTTTCATGGGTCTTCTGGAATACAGAAGTTAGATATTCTTTCCCCTCCTCCCCCCCAAATCTCGGAGCAAGCAAAGAACCAAGAATGAGAACTAAGGGGTAGGTAGTAATTGTTGTTTTCAAACAATGCCTTCACTGCGTTTGCTCCTCCACACAACCAGAGCTGTCATGAGAAGAGTTATCAAGAGCGGGATGAAGAGTAAAGAGCAGAGAATCGGGAATGGAGGGTCTGCTGGCAACCGCCCTGTCACGGAACAGTTCCTGAAATACTTTTTGTGGATACCTATGAATAAATGATCCACCAGGTGGTTTGGCCAGAAACAGCCCAACTTTGCAGCCACTAGAGCTGTGCAGTTTGTGACGTCTGTGTAAAACCTGTGGAAGGAAAGAAAAAAAAATTTAATTTTTTTTTATCTTTGCAATAGTAGGTCATAATCTAATGCTTGGTAAAATGTAGTGATTTGTTTTACTTTGTTTTCATGTAAAGCTACTACTATTTATTTAGTAATAAGTGTACTAGAAATGATAGGGAGATATAGATAGATGAATCATAAAATGCATACATAACATTTACAGAAATATTACATGAAAAAGATTTTACTTTTAAAGTAATTAAATCACAACTTTGATATAAGGAGCAAAACTGAGTCACAACAGGTAGATGTTGTTTTATTAGTAACATCTGGTCAAATAATTAGTACTTTAATAATTTGAGTTTTAAAAGAAATGCCAAGCAGCTAACAGAATGCTTTGGTCACAAATGGTAAAATAATTTAATATGTCAAGTGGAACATTCTCCGATATAATGCTAGCATATGTCAAACATGGACAAACTCCAGGAGGCCAAGAGCAAAAGTGAATCTAAGTCATTGCTAATTGACATGGGTGGACAAATACTAAATTGCAAAATTTAGTTCTGAGCATCCCAGTGCTGAATTGTATAGATGTTATACATTAAAAGCAGTTATCCAACGACACTGGAATCTAAAAAAAAAATATGGCCCGATAGATTTCCAAAGTACACTAAAGGAACTAATATCACTGCTAAGTGCAGCTAAAAGAGGATTGCTGTGTGATATTCCTCTGGCATCTCCCCCTTCTGCCTGTGATTGTCCACCAGGCATTAGGGCTGTTAAAGGGATGCTTTAAGCACCAAGCGCTCTAAGTTTAATATGCTATATTGTTTGCATGTTCAATAGTGATGTCCCGAACGGTTCGCCGCGGACCTCACAGTCAGCAGACACATTCCAGCCAATCAGCAGCAGACCCTCCCACCTCCTGGACAGCATCCATTTTACATTCATTGTGAAGCTGCATTCTTAGTGAGCTGTCCAGGAGGTGGGAGGGTCTGGGAGGGAGGGTCTGCTGCTGATTGGCTGGAATGTGTCTGCTGACTGCGAGGTACAGGGTCAAAGTTTATGTTTATGTTCGCCGTCCGCGGCGAACCGTTCGGGGAACCCTACGGGACATCACTAATGTTGAACTCTTCATAGTTTTAGGACAAAAATAAATAAGTTTAACATCAGTGCTTTATACACATTCTGAAACCATATAGTTTGTGTAGTGTACAAATGCAAAAAGCACTGTTTTTAAATCTGACACTTAACACTTCTGATAGAATGACACATATTCCATAAGATCAAATAAATTTCAAGGGGAATTGGCACTAGTCAATATATACATTTTGCCATCCCAGCCGGAATTTAGCCATTTTCACAGAATTTTGTCCATTCAGACAAAGAATCTGGTGTTTAGTGAATTATTCTAAGAGTTGCAATTATGCTGTTACTTCAGAACAAGTATTTGTTAGTAAATAAATCAATTCTGAATTCTTTGTGGAATCAATATATAGCATCTGTCTTTATATCTGCTGTGATCATGTGAGAAAGGTGATTTCCCAAAGGTACCACTGCAATTAATGAAAAAAAGAAAAAAAAAAAAAGCATGTCTGTAGCATATGAAGTCTATTTACGGCCAGGAATCACTTTCAGACAATACGCAACCACATATACAAGTGACATCCTGAAGAAAAAAAAAGAATGATCTATCTGTCCTTCCTGGGAGAATGAATATTAAGAACAGAGTAGGATGTGATGTATATAGTTTATGTAAAAGAACCGGTACTCTGTCTAGTTTGCTATTATGTCTTAAACTTGCTCTTTGTGCATACATACTGTGTAATATCCAATAAAAAAAAAAATGTACTACAAGATTCTACAATATATTTCAAACAGACAGACACATACACATATAGGAGTCAAATCATTAAACAGCTAATTGCAGCAAAATGATTAAGAATTTGCACAATTTAGACTAAAGTAGTCCTGCTGTGACAAAAGATAAATTAGAGATTTGTTTTGCTAGTTAAAGGGACACTTTAGGCACTCAGATCACTTCAGTTCATTGAAGTGGTCTGGGTACAGTGTCCCTACTGCACTTAGTGCTGCAATGTAAAACATTGTTTACATTGCAGCACTAAGTGAGCCACAACTCAGCACCAAGAGATATGCTGGGATCAAGTAAGTAAAAAGATGGTTTTTAACCCTTTAATTACCACTGGGGTAGGGGGGATACTATAGTACGCTATACACTAAGACCAAACTTCTGGAATAAAAGGGAATCATGACATGTCATGTTTTCTTAAGGGGTTAAGAACCAATAATTGCATGTTGTATCACTCATTAGACATTAACCACCAAGAACCTTCTGACTGTGCAGCACTGCCCCAGGAAGCACCTCTTGTAGCCATCTGAGGACTGGCCATTGGAGGTGTCCCTAGGCTGTAATGTAAACACTGCCTTTTCTCTGAAAATATATTGTTTACTGCAAAAAGCATGCAGGGACTGACTATACTTACCAGAACAAATAAATTAAGCTGTATTTGTTTACGGAGTATATTGTCCCTTTAATTAAACATTTAACAAAAGTTTGTGAGAATTCTATTTCAAACACCTTATCTGCTTTACCCATAAACATCCCTGTGTCTCGTGATAAATAATTTTTCAGTTCATGAAAAGTCTCTAGTGCCAGTTTATTTCTTCTATTTATCTGTCTCACTAATTAGACTTCTTATTTACACTGCAAACAAAGGATAAAGAAAGGCAAAATATTTATCCATTTTACTCTGCCATAACATGTTATTACCTAGTGCCATTTTCTGTATAAATGAAATAAAAAATTATATATATATATATATATATATATATATATATATATATACTGAATTTACTGAACCTAGTTCTGTGATACGCAACAAAATCCGTTCTCTAAAAGGTGACATGTAGTGGACTGAAAACCTAACTGCAAAGTTTAGGATCAACGAGCCAAACTGCTACTGAATAGGAGAAGGAACATTTTCCCACACCAGCAATGTTTTACCTAAATTTTTACATTTGGTTTTCAATTTACTATAACTTGGTGTTTAGTGAATACACCTACAAAAAGTTTATTTAAAAAGGGAAAAAAAACCTGTGGGGCAAAGAGACTTTTCGTTGTTGGTTTTTTGTTTTTTTACTACCAATCCGCTACTACTGCGCTGCCTATATTCTTGAATTCAGTGTTTAGAGAATAAATATTACAGAAAGCCCATTTCTACCCACAAACACTTTTTTTCTCTTTCTATTTTCCATTTCACTGAAACATTTAACAAAAGTTTCTGAGAATTCTATTTCAAACACCTTATCTGCTTTACCCATAAACATCTCCTTGTCTCATGATAAATTAATATTTTTCAACTCTTGAAAAGTCTCTAGTGTCAGTTTATCAGTGGCTTCTCTTTATCTGTCTTTTATTGCATATTGTTTTACATATATTTGTTTTCACTGTATACCCTATTGCCATGCTGAGAGGATCGGACATTGCCATCCTGCCATGGTACTTTTTACTCTTTGGACCAGGACCCTTAAATTGATGGGCATTTTTAATAACTTTGATTCTATAAGTGTAATACATTAAAGCAGTTATATGATTGTCCTACATTGTTGCCCTGTAGTTCTGTTATTATGTTCTCCTCATATATCCCTGAGTATCTGAAAGATACCACACATTTGGAGTTGGAATATATGAGATGGGCCTACATTTACAACAGTACTTGTGAGTTGAACCTTGAACATCACTATATTTGGAGCACTAGCTGCCTATTTGTTTTTGTAGATATATTTTGAGTCAGTTACTTATAAACATTCCTGGGTCTCGTGATAAATTAATATTTTTCAATTCATGAAAAGCCTCTATGGCCAGTTTATCAGTGGCTCCTCTTTTATCTGTATCACTAATTAGGCTTCTTAATTACACTGCAAACAAAAGATGTAAAAAAAGCTAAATATTTATTCATTTTATTCTGCAATAAAATGTGATCTAGTGCCATTTTCTGTATAAATGAAAGAAAATATTATATATATATATATATATATTCCCAGAATATACTGAACTTTGGTATGTGGCACGCAACAAAGTCTATTCACTAAAAAGTGACGTGTAGTGAATGGAAAGCCTAACTGCAAAATTTAGGATCATTTTTCCAAATCAGCAATTTAGTGTCTGAATTTTAAATTTGGTTTGCTTTCAATTCACTACAACTTGGTGTTTAGTGAAAACACCTACAAAAACTCAATTTAAGCAATTAACAAAACCCGATACAGCATAATTTACCAAATGGATTTTTCACTGTTGTTATCTAAACTATGGTCGGATTTAATGCTGAAATCAGGAGAGGGAAAAAATGCTATCAATGATAATTATTTGTATACACAGCTGCTAACACACTTTCATTTTGGTTAAAACAAAGTTCCACCAGTGAAACCAGTCACACATACAATTTTAACCCCTTAAGGACCAAACTTCTGGAATAAAAGGGAATCATGACATGTCACACATGTCATGTGTCCTTAAGGGGTTAAGATAACAGGCAGGGAATAAAATAACATGTTTGAAGCATAAGGTGCATAGCTACTAATAGCATATAAACATAGAATAAAACAGTGTTTTTGTTAATGCATACCTTAAATAACAATTATGTAAATTTACAGTTTTCATTTATTATTTATTCATTCTTTACAGAAATTGTGATGGGATAAAAGGTTGCAGAGATTATTAGATTACTTGCTAAATTCAGAATCCTCACTTCCTCCTTCCCACTCAGTGACTGCTAGAATGTGGCAATGAAGTTTAACCAACAAAGGCAGCTATAGTGTATAGAAGGAAAGAATAATTTGTAGTTCTTCTGTAGAGAAGCAGGAGAACAGAATAATGAACAGAACAGCTATTGAAAAAGTAAAACTCAGTGCTGTCCCAGTTCCTCCAATGTCTGAGAGGCTGGACAGGAAGTGGAAGGGGTCACTTCCCATCTGCAGGAAAGAATCATTTCCAGTTCTTCTGCAGAGGAACAGAATAATGCCTGCCAGAAGAATTACTCTATCTGCAGGGTGAAAATCTGAGCTGGAAGAAGATAAAATATGGCTTAGCGGACTAAATTTAATTTTGCACTGCTTTGCAAAATGAAAATCAGCATTTATTTTTACAGGGAAGGGTTTAATCACCATATTATAAGAGCAGAGTAAAAATACTATTTCATACACTCTCTGGCATTACAATTTTTTATTCAAACTTTGTCTTCTATGATATTTATCAGTTGGAATTAGTGATGTCCCGAACGGTTCGCCACAAACAGTTCGCCGCGGACTCATCATGGAGTAAACTTTGACCCTGTACCTCACAGTCAACAGACAAATTCCAGCCAATCAGCAGCAGACCTTCCCTCCCACCTCCTGGACAGCTCACTAAGAATGCAGCTTCACAATGGATGCTGTCCAGGAGGTGGGAGGGTCTGGGAGGGAGGGTCTGCTGCTGATTGGCTAGAATGTGTCTGCTGACTGTGAGGTACAGGGTCAAAGTTTACTCAATGAGTACGCGGCGAACCGTTCACGAACCGTTCGGCGAACAGTTCGGGACATCACTAGTTGGAATCCCTCCCCCCCCCCAAAAAAAATTACCAAAAGTTTGTGAGAACTCTATTTCAAACACCTTATCTGCTTTACCCATAAACATCACTGTGTCTTGTGATAAATTCATATTTTTAAATTCATGAAACGTCTCTAGTGCCAGTTTATCAGTGGCTCCTCTTTATCTGCCTCACTAATTAGACTTCTCAATTACAGTGCAAACAAAAGATAAAGGAAATCTAAATATATATCCATTTTACTCTGCATTAATATATGTTATCATCTAGTGCCATATTCTGTATAAATTAATATATTTTTTTTAATTAAAATCCCAGAATTTACTGAACTGTGGTCTGTGATACGCAACAAAGTCTATTTACTAAACAGTGACGTGTAGTGAATTGAAACCTTACTGCAAAGTTTAGGATAAAAGAGACAAATGGCTACTGAATAGGAGTAGGATCATTTTTCCTTATCAGTACTTTTGTGCCTACATTTTATATCTGATGTTACAGACCTCCCGGTCAACTACGACTGGAACATGTCTCCCAGCCACCTCCCTCCTAAAAGGACTATAGTCACCACAGTTACCCCTCTCAAGACGGACTGGCAGCAGCCCAAAAACTCTATTGAACTCTTGATTGGATTGTGGAGTTGCCGCAGTCCGGTAAACTTTGTCGAGAGAGCTCTTGGTCCAGAGGCATCTATCAGAGCACTTTATGGATGGGTGACAGAGCAGGTGGCAAAGCATCGATTGACACCAAGGATAATTTGGTCTGTGACAGTGTGCCACAAATTGTGATGTGTGTCATATGCCCTTTTAAGAAATTACTGTATGGTGGCTACAAAGATACAACAAACAATCTCACTGGGCAATACAGCAGACAAAAGTTGGTATATAGTGGGATAAAAAACAATAGTAGAAGGTATCACAGTCACATTTTCAAAAGCCTGTATACGGTACTGGCTCAGGTATATACGCTTGAGTGTGATATACAGAGTCCTCTGCCAGACGTTATTGATAACAGCTTTAGTCCTGCATATTGCTTAACTTTTGCACTTTATAATAAGCACCAATACTTTTTACACTATTGCTCTATTCTAGATTGACACCAAGGACTTGAGGGAGCTCCATGTACCAACCAAAAGCGCCATCATTTTAGGTGACCGGGATTTCTACCCAGCACTGTGGAACTCTGCTCCAGATTGGAGGATGGTCGCTACCCAGTAAAAAACTTCACCGCCAGCTAACTCGGACTAGACACCTCTAATCCAGTGCTTTTATGACAAAGTGGGTATTTAGAAGAGAGATTTCCGGGAATCGCACTAGTTTGAAGATGTGAGCAGGGGAACTCTAGTTTTTACTTTTTAATGTTAACTGACACCATGGTGTCTGGCCACTTATTAAATTATCCGTCTAGGTACAGACACTGCGGCGCCTGGAATGTTGCAAGGCCATTGTTCTCCTGGGCACCTCCTGTTGAAGACCCAGGTATATGTGTGTCAGTTATCCTAATAAAGCAGTTCTTCACCCTTCACTAAGTCTCAGCTGTGTTTGGGTGAGAGAGCGATAATTAACATCTGCATTGAGCTATAATAACTCTGGGATACAATCACACAAGGCAAAGGGAATCTTGGTGATGAGATTCCAGTTCCTAGGCAGACAGGCTGCCATATATGGTTTTAAATTTACTACAACCTGGTATTTAGTGAATACACCTACAAAAAGTTCATTTTAAAAAGGAACAAAAACTCATACAGCATAAGTAACCAAAACAATGCTACTGCTGACTACATTCTTGAATTCCGTTTTCAGGTCACTTTAACTTAGTGTTTAGAGAATAAATATTAATGAAAGGCCATTACTACCCACAAACACTTTTTTTCTCTGTCTATTTTCCATTTCACTGAAAGAAAAGTTTCTGAGAATTCTATTTCAAACACCTTATCTGCTTTACTCATAAACATCCTCTTGTCTTGTGATAAATTAATATTTTTAAATTCATGAAAAGTCTCTAGTGCCAGTTTATCAGTGGCTCCTCTTTATCTGTCTCACTAATTAGGCTTCTTAATTACACTGCAAACAAAAGATAAAAAAAAAAAACTAAATATTTTTCTATTTTACGTTTCCAATTAAATGTTTTCATTTCACTTCCATTTTCTGTATATAATATATATATATATATATATATATATAAACATAATTTAGTGAACTGTCATCTGTGATACGCAACAAACAGTGACGTGTAATGAATTGAAAACCTAACTGCAAAGTTTAGGATAAAATAGCCAAATGGCTACTAAATAGGAGTAGAGTAATTTTTCCAAATCAGTATTTTTTTTGCCTAAATTTTTAATTTGGTTTTCAATTCACTACAATTTGGTGTTTAGTGAATACACCTAGAAAAAGCTAATGTAAAAAAAATGAGCAAAACCCCATACGGTATAATTTACCAAATTGATTTTTCACTGTTGTGCTTTTGTTCAGGCATACTCTGAAAACCAATTATGTCAATTTACAATTTTATTTTCTAATTTATTCATCTTTACAGAACTTGTGATGGGGTACAAGGTTGAAGAGATTATTGGTCTCCTTGCTAAACTGAGAATCCTCACCTTCTCCTCCCTCTTAATGACTGCTAGAAGGCAGCAATGAAGTTTTACCCACAAAGGCAGATATACTGTGTAGTAGGAAAAAATGATTTGCAGTTCTTTTGCAGAGAGGCAGAAGAACAGAATAATGCACAGAAGTACAGAACTGCAAGAACAGTTATTGAAAGTGTAAAACTGCTGTCCCAGTTCCTCCAGTGTCTTCCAGGACATTGAAGGTATCACTTCTTATCTTCAGCTAAGAATCATTTACAGTTCTTCTGCAGAGATGCAGAGGAACAGCAGAATAACGCCTGCCAGAAAAAATACTCTCTGCAGAGTGGAAACCAGAACTGGAAGAAATAAAATATGGCTTAGCAGACTACATTTAATTTTGCACTGCTTTGCAAAATGAAAGTCAGCATATATTTTTACAGGGAAGGGTTTTATCACCATACTATAACATCAGATTAAAAATACAATTTCATACACTCTCTGGCATTACAATTTTTAATTCAAACTTCATCTTTTATGATATTTATTGGTTAACTCCCCCCTTCCTCCCCCCCTTTTAAATATTGTTTATATTTTTTTTAGTTATATATTTTATTGTTTTTACAATTTGCCTTTTAATAATGTACCCATGGCACAGCACTGTAAAAAATGTTGGAGCATTATAAATAAATGTAATAACAATAGTAATTTATACTGTCAACAGCGATCTGCCCTAAGTAACTCGGTACAGATTTTGGAATACTTTGTGTTTTTACACTAATGATGTTTGCAGTGTATAGCAGAGATGCTATAGAGTTCTACTGTTGCAGTTTGGAGACCAGGAACTAGATTATATTGCCAAAAATAACCGCAATGGGAGAAGTGATATTCAATTAGCCGAGTTCAATTTATCATGGATAATAGAATCTACAGGCACCACAACTCTCTTCATTGGCACGGACGTCTGAATCATTTACCCTGAAGGTTCATTGGTTTCCTATGACCCCAATATAACCCATGGGACATTACTTGCCTTGGAGAATAGCAATACACTGAACCAAACATGCGAGTCATAATTCTGTAACAGATTATTCAGAACACATCAATAGTGTCTGATGTTCACACCACATCCTCATGAATCACATAAAGCAGAGCTTTTATTAATGTTTCTTTATGCAGTTTAATGCACCATTGAATGCTCAGAGATTTTGATAACTGGAAAACCAAACTTATCCAAATAGGCTTCCTACAATAGCAGGGAAGAGAGAGACATTCTATAGTGTTTCATTAAAAAATTCTATACTGCAATCTTTCAATATTTTTCACTACAGACCCCTAATGCACTTTAACTTGCTGAAAGGTTTTACATGTGAAGAGTGTTTCCTTTTCCCCCCTTCATTTTACAGAAAGTGCAGGTTTCAATAGAAATGGGCACTTTTATAAATGAACCCTGTTATACCACATTGACTTTTACACAGAAAACAGGTCTCGTTACTTCCTGGTTTGGTTAGCTCAGTGAAGCTAAACTCAGATGGCCGGCAATTGCCCAGAAAAAAATGACCAGTTCGCTTTTAACCCCATCACCATTAACATTGAGTGTGCACAGAGTGCAAAAAACGTCCTCCCGTTCTATTTAATTGGTATTACAGGGAAATGGTGTATAATTTATCTTTCTTTCAATATGCAAAGCACAATTAGTTGTCTTTATTTCTTGTAAACATGTTCTTTCATCAGAGAGGATCTATTCACATATGCAATTCCTCTTGTTGTTTATTCCTAAATGAAAAGCAGTCTGATTAGGTGCTAGAATCCTACATTTAATTGTTGGTTAGCACTTACGGCCAAATTGGTTGTTTTATACAAACTTTAAAGGCTGTTAGTTGGAGGTAAGAAAAAAAAAAATTGGTCTGGCTCATCATATATTTATTTGAGTTGAGGGAAAGGAAATACCGGCAACTTAAAGGGACACTATAGACATCCAGACCACTTCAGCTTACTGAAGTGATCTGGGTGCAGTGTTCCAGGTCCCTTAACCCTGCAATGGTAATTAGTGTGGTTTTTATTAAACTGCAATAATTACCTGCTGGGGTTAACTCCACCTCTAGTGGCGGTCTACCAGACAGCTACTAGAGGGACTTCAAAAAAGTGACTAAGGGGTGTTTTAATACTTTAGCTACCGGAGGGGGCGCGAGGGAGGAGGGGAACAGAGGGCTCTATAGTGTTAGGGATACAGATTATTCCTAACACTATAAAATCCCTTTGAAAAAACTTTACATGCTAAAATTTTACATTTGTATATGTATTTAATTTTTTAAAGAAATAAAATGTATTTCAAAATGCTCTTTGAATATGTGCCTTTTTGTCTTGCAAGACTCAACCAGCCAGAGTTATGCAATATCTGTGTGCACTTTTAGTTTATCAGCTGAGAGATCCTGTCGTAGAAAACTGTTCTCTAGGCTGCTACAATTAATTAAATTATGCTGAGTGTTCAATTAAAAATATGATTAATATTTTATTATGCTAAATAATCAGCACCTTCAATGTGGGCGATGTTCTTTCTGTGCTCATAGATCCTGGTGTTAAAGCATCCTCCACTTGGCAAGTAAGTAGGCAGAGGATTAGGCTCATTATCACATTGCCGATTTAGACTGCAGCTCCTATCTATCTCAGCCTGACATATCTATTATTTTTCTGAAAGTAAATTTCACAGTTCAGCTCACAACAAAGAGCTTAATTAACCTGGTGAGATATTGTCATCTGGCAAGCCACAGGCCACAGGTTTTACTACTGAACAGGAGAGATTGTTGACAATACCTTCCAGATTTTTCTTCTTTTTTAGATAAGTTCAGTCACTTTTGTAATTATGTTGATTTTGTCAATTCCTGTTAAATATTTGACTACTGAAATTTTAGAATGTTGCATACCTGGGGCTGGTTTATATTACCAGTGGCAGGTTTATGTCTCTTGATGCTATCCAGGCAATTTCATTGTCTCAAGTCAGTTTCAAAGGATTCTACACCAAATGGTGTTAACATTTCTTTTTATTTTTTTATTTATTTATTTCAAGTCAAGACACCATAACAGAAAAGCAAAAATACCACAATTGTATGCAACATATCAAGAATACATCAACAATAGTATAAAGTAGATAAATATGTAGTCCTATAATGGACCCTTTATGAGCATGTTCAGCAGGATATTGTGGATTTTCACTGAAGGTATAGTCATCGATGGTGACTTGCCCATTTTTAAATAACTACAGTAAAACAACGAAACAAGGAAATGAAGTAAAGTACAACCGACCAAATCAAAATTTTTCCATACAACATGCCTAAATCGGCCGATCAATGCTATGCGCTGGCTATATTGTAGTAGTGAGGCACTGCAATCTAAACTCCACTACCACCGAAATGGCATTGACATTCTGCTATTGACAAGTCAGTTCACAACCCATATGTCATTATGGTATGTATGAGGTTCTAGCAAATAGGATGATCGACATTAAGAGGTCATTCAAAGTGGGGAAGAACAGAGAAATATCCAAGAAAAAAGTAAAGAAAAAAGTAGAGGAAGGGGGGGGGAGTGGGTCACGGAATGAATTCCTAAGTTGGTAATTGCTAGTCCAGGCGTTTTGGTTACCATGTAGCAGCATATTTTTAAAAGAGGGTATCTCAATTACCTATTAGGCCGATTATACCCCGAGGTCTCCCCTTGGGGTCCTCAAAGACCCGCCATGCTAAGTTGAGCTGGGCAATTTCATCGATATCCTTAGGTTAAGAAAGTACTAGGGGAATATGGGGGAATGAGCCTATCCCATCTATCCTTAATCACCCACTCTGCTGTCTAACCATGGGCTCCAAACCATTACGAATTTATTTATGGTACCCCTGACCTGAGCTGTTAATTTATCCATGAAGAATGTATCTTTAATTTTTTGTATCACTATATTAAGTAGGGTGGTCTCGCTTTGTAGCCATACCTGAGCTAAGGCCCTCAGTGCTGCCAAATTTATTTTATGTATAAGAGCCTGCTCCACTCTAGGCCAGTTATCCAATGATCTGGCCAGAAGGAACACCCAGGGATCTGGCTTAACCTCTCTATTAAAGACTTACCGCAGCAGGTCCGCGACCTGTTTCCAGTACTGTTGCGCTTTCGTACACTCCCACCACATGTGTATATAGGTTCCCTTCTGTCCGGATCCCCCCCAGCAAACATCCGTTGAAATTTTGTTCATCCTACAGAGTTTTACCGGGGTAGCATACCACCTGAACCTAGTCTTACAAGCCTGTTCCTGCATGGAGACACATATAGAGGATGTCACGGCGGCCTCTCAGATCTCCTGCCATTCAATACCCTCCAGCTCCTCGTTTAGATCAGCCTGGGCTGTGTACGTGAGCTGCATACATAATGGTGATAAGGCCCCTCGGATTTGTTATTTAATGCATATCTTTTCGAAAAATGTAAGTGGGGTTAGCGCAATCTTTTTAATCACAGGGTTTTGGGCATAGTCCCGAATTTGGAGGTATCGGAAAAAGTCTGAGGTGCGTAAAGGGGCCCTAGCGCTTAACTCCTTGAATTATATAAATGAGTCACCCTCAGATAGATGGCATAGCCACTGAACTCCCGTGTGTTCTATGCCCCTAAAATTCCTTGCTTCCATCACTGGGGGGGAATGTCGTGTTCCTTAAGCAGGGGGTTAAAGGGGATAAGCTGTGGGATACGCCATATTTCGATGCTGTAGCGTCCCATATTTTCAAGGACATTGGGCATTCAGTATGTATAGATGGTCTATTGTCCTTAGGGACCCAAGAATTGAGGCGAATCCAATCCCATAGGGGATGATTCCAGTTCCACCCACCGCCTTTCGTCTGGAGGGGTGTGCCAAAGTGCTATTTGGGTGAGCTGGGCAACCAGGTAATAGAAGTAGAGGTTTGGTAGGCCCAAGCCATCCCTCGTTTTTGCCCTATAAAGAACGTTGCGCAAAACTCTTGCGTTGCGCAAATGTCTCCTGTTCTGCCATATGAATTTTCCTATGGCCTGTTGAAGTGCTCCCAGGTCAGATTTAGTTATCCTGACCGGAAGTGCCTGAAACAAGAACAGAATTCTGGGGAGAACATTCATTTTTACCGAATGTATCCTACCAATCCAAGATATCGGTTTATCAACCCATCACTCCATGTCTCCCATCAAGGTTCATATCATGGGAGTATAGTTTTGCTGGAACAACTGAGCTGGGTCCGCCGTCAGTTGGACTCCTAAATACTTTATCTGGTTTTGTTCTATACGTATCTGGTAAGTTTTTCCAGTGTGAGCTATGTCCGATTCTCTTATGCTTATAGGGAGCGCACTTGATTTAAACAGGTTCACCTTATATCCGGCTATCCCGCCGTATACATCCAGTACATTCATCAGTGCCGCCATTGACTCACTTGGGTCGGTCAAGGTCAACAAGATGTCGTCTGCGAATCCCGACACTATGTACTTCTGGCCTCCAATTGTGATTCCCTTAATATCTGAGCTGTTTCGTATCGTTTGCAAGAGGGGTTCCAAAGAGAGCGCGAACAACAGAGGCTATAAAGGACAACCCTGTCTGGTTCAGTTCCCCAAACTAAAAGGCATCATCTTTGCTCCCGATATCCGGACCCGAGCTTTTACATCCACGAATCGCGGTTATAAAAGTATTTGGAAAGCCTATGTGTTGGAGTACCTCGAATAGATAAGGTCATTTTACTCTATCGAAGGCCTTCTCTGCATCTAGTGATAATATCAGGGTCGGGATCCCCTTTGCTGCTTGCCGCCATGTGAGATCAATATTGCGCCTAGTATTTTCGTACAGTTGCCTGCCAGGTATCAAGCCTACCTGGTCCGGGTGTATTAAACACGTCAATAGGGGGTTCAATCTGCTAGCCAGGATCTTCGCCAGTATTTTAGAATAATGATTTATCAAGGATATCGGACGGAAGTTTTCCGGGATCAAATCGTCTTTGCCAGGTTTCGGCAAGAGTACGATATCCGCTAATGACATGTCCCTATCTTGGGCGCCCCCCTTCATTAGATCATTGAACCATGTTTCCAGATGGGGTATAAGTTCTTTGCAAAACATCTTGTAATAGCAGCCCTCGAAGCCATCTGGGCCTGGAGCTTTATTGCCTTTTAATAGTGATATGGCAGCATCTATCTCTTCAGCTGAAATCGGCGTTCCCAGAGCTTCTATTTCCTCGCCCAGCAATGTAGGAAGGGACAGACAGGACAGAAACGAGTGAGTGTTATTCGCGTCTCTTAGCTGGTCATTTGCGGCACCACCAGAGTGATTGTAAAGTTTGGAGAAGTAATCCGTGAATACCTGAGCTATATTCGTGGGGTCTGTATTGAACTTACCCGAAGCATCCTTTATTCTCGTGACATGTGTGTTTCCTTGTCAGGGGTGGAGGGATCTAGCTAGGAGCGTATCCATTTTGTTTGCTTTTTCGTAGTAGGTCCTCTTGGACCACACTATTGACCTAGCCATCTCGTCTACAGATGCCCGCAAGGACTTTATTTCTGCCAATGTGCTGGTTGATGTGTTGGATTTGTGTTTTTCTTCCGCTTTCCTCAGGGCTTCCAGGAGAGATGACAGTAGCTGTGTTTTACGTCTCTTTTTAAGGGTAGCTTTGCGAATGAGTACTTCCCGAATAACCACCATGTGGGCTGCCCACACCGTAGCAGGACGGAGACCGAGCTCTGCATTCCTAACAAAATACTCAGCCAACCCCCCCACGAGTGGTCTCGACCATGGCTGGATCCTGAAGTAAGGAAGTGTTCAGTTTCCAAGACCACGGGATGCCGTACATAAGTTATCCAAAGTCAAGGTGACCTCTGCGTGGTCAGACCACGTGATAGAACCAACCGTTGAGTTCGTCACTTTGGGTACAGTATGCAGGTTCACCAAGAACAAGTTGATCCTTGAACAGGTGTCGTGGGGTGCCGAGTGAAACGTGTAATCGCGATCGTCTGGAAGATGTGCTCTCCAGATGTCCAGTAGGCCTGTACTCTGTATAAACTCGCATAGCAATTTATCCTGACCTTCCTTCCTATGTGATCACGGGAGTCCACCGCTTGGGCCCCTGTCTACAGCTGGACACGGCGTGGCGTTGAGGTCTCCTCCCATGATCACCATGCCGTGCGGCAGGGAGTTCACCATTTGGGCCATGTTGTTCCAAAAATCAGCAGACGGATCTTTCGGTGCATATATCATATATGTTAAGAATGTGTATTGAATGTGAATATAAACTCCCTGATATCAGTATGAAGCGACCCTCGGGGTCCACTTTCACCGCTCCTACCCTGATCGGGCACCTGTGGTGGATAAGCACAGCTACCCCGTTCCTTTTTTTAAAGCCCTAGATTCATGGACGGTCCTGTAAATATGGTCTTTCAGAGCAAATTTTGCAGATGCCGGTATATGTGTCTCCTGCAACAAGGCTATATCCGGGCCTAAACGCTTAAGTTCCCTGAACATGAGGCGACATTTAGTTGGAGCGTTAAGACCCTTAACATTCAGTGAAGTCACTTTCAGGGGCATGATGTCTCAAATAAGACATAGAATGGTAAGTGCGATATGCTATCAGTGAGCTGGAGTAAAAGTCTCTGTCCAGTCCATGTCGCCATGTGGACATGGCCCAGTCTCTGTTGGCCAATGCAGCGCCATGCATCACGCCTAATTTCAACCCTGCTCCCTCCCATGGGGAATTGTGTGGGGGAAGGGTTAAGAATGGGGTAGGGTGAGAAAAACAAGAGAGAAAACCTAACAATAAACAATTTTTGCCTGGTCTTACCTGTAGCCAGGCTTATAAGGAGTGTATGTTCCTGCCACCTCAGGACCCCAGAGAGGCCCCAGAGAGGTCGGAACATAGACCAACTAAGAAACGCACAGCTAGGGTGCCAACTTAAACTCAGTTTGAGACACAGTGTACATTGAAATCTAGTAAACCGCTTCAGTGCGCAAGGGGGGGCATCGTGCAACTCCCGCGAATACCCTCTTCCCTCTGTGTGAATGCCCCACCCCCCATGAAGACAATTGTATCCATCCCCCTACACCCCACTAGCAGGCCCAGGGGTGGAGGGACCGAGCCGGAAGAGCCCAATAACTGACCCCATACCCTCCAACCCCCGGCTCGGTCTACACCTCTCGAAAACCAACGAGGGTCGACCAGGTGTAAACGACCATGCTTTATAGAGCCCACAGCATCCAGCCCCAGGAGCCGCCCCTCCTCCACCCTGCGTGCCCCGAAGGGACAATCATCATACAGAACACATTCCTTGTATGGGACCCAGGGTTCCCGAGCATCCTTGATGGGCATGTCTCGCCTGCAGCCCACATACATATCTCGCTCCATGGGCATGTCTCGCTTGCAGCCCCTCCATATAGGCACCCCGTTGGGGGTCAGCAAAGGGGCCCCGTACAGATGTAGGAACGCATATTATATCATATAATCCTTCCAGCAATCTACTGCATTATGCGTCTCCCACCGCCCGGCATAACCCAAAAAACACAACAGTAAACATAAGCATTAGTCGTTTTGGCCCTAAACAGCCATGGTCCAATGTGTCCGATGAGAGAATCTACCAGGGAGACCCGTCGGCACCCAGCCCCCAACGGGACCGCCGCTCCCCACCCCCAGAGAGCATACAGAAAAAACAGGGTATGCAAAACTATTTAAAACAATAAACGTAGAGAAATATGAGGATGAAAAAACCCTAACCTACCCTAAACACAGGATGTCCCCACCCGCGAGCCGGTCTTATGAGCGGGGCTCCCCGGCAAGGGACCCCCAAGGATCATGGTCAGAACGATAAGAAAAAGATCAGGGACTCCTGGGATGGAGACCAAGGGTCCAGACCTGCCCACCCAACAAACAGAGGCCCAGCCGGAGAAACTCACCGCCCGGCGCCGCCGACATCCAGCCCACATCATCAGCCTCTAAGCTGACTGCTTCACTCACCTGCAGTAAACCAGTCACAGGGGAGAGAACCCACGACCACCATTGACGTCGTCTGCACCACCAGTCCCTCTGGAATCTGGATCTCGAGGTCTCTCAGGAAGGCCGCTGGATCACCATCATGATGCAAGATCTTGGTGCGCCCACCTTTAAAAGACATCAGTCGAAAGGGGTGACCCAAAGAATATTTGATGGCATGATGCTGGAGGAGCTCGTGATGGGGCGCCACTCCCATCGCCTCTGTAACGTAGTTGGGGTTAGATCTTGGAATAAGGTAAGTGCTACCCCTTTGTATCTGTTCGGGTGATTCCTACCATGCTTCATTAAGGCCTCCTTTGTCTGGTAAGACAAAAATTTGATGATCACATCCCGTGGCCACTTGTCATCTGCCTGCCTGGCTGGGAGCGCCCGATGGGCCCGCTCGATATGCCACAGATGATCCGGTACATCTGGGAGAAGCGGCTTAAAGATGCTCAAAACAACATTGGCGAGAGGACCTTCCCCCTCCTGCTCCCACGTAAGCCCATGGTCTGGCCGGTGTCGGTCTCGGAAGCACCAGCAAACATACTGCTCGCCGGACTTGCTGGCAAGAGCGGAGTCCCAGGGCCATCCCGTCCGCCATCTTGTGCGTTCTGCCGCATGGCGCGGGTGGCTGCAAACATCTCCGTCACCGTTGTGCCCTGCTCCGACGTTTTTTTTGCCTGTTTTTTCGGGGCTCTCTTATCCATCGCGATTCCCCAACATATATAGACAGTTTTAAGTTTGTGTCTCAGCATTTGTTAGCTGTTGGCTCTGTGGTCCCGGAGGAGCTCTATCCGGACACGTCCAGCTTGCTCAGCCGCTGACCACGCCCCCCCCATGGTGTTAACATTTTGGTACGGCAATGTGACTTTTGTGTTATTTATGTCACTTGGCCCCATATTCCCATTTGTATGAGTGGTGTTCTGTCATAATTTCTGATGCATATACCTGAGTGAGATCTCATATATTTAAATATATCAGGTGTTTTATTGGTGTATGGAATAACATGTAAGAGGTTGTTGCCTTCATGAGCTGCCCAATGTAATTTGACATTTTGTAATATTACCTGTGCTTTGTATAGAGGGATGACACTTTATTTTCTTGGATGTGTAATAATAATGTGATACTTTATTTTTTCAGGGTATGTGAAGTGTTTACATAGAACGAGCACTCATTTAATACTATTCTCTCAATGCTGGGATGGCATGTTCAGTACTAATTCCAGGCAAACTTATAGCAGGGCTTCCTGTGTGTAGGCAAATCTTTTATCTTGTTTTCTTTAATAATACCCTACCTGATCTGTTCTCCTTTAATGTGCATTATTCCATGTGCATGTTAATTGACTATGTCAACCCCCCAGTGAGACATAGAAGGATTGGAGTGACAAATCTAATTACAATATGGAATTATGGAACCAGCTTTCACAAAGTGCGTATTTTTAATTTCCCTTTCCATCTCCTCTTCCCAATGTCTAGCTATAACCCAAATGCCTTTCATATTCCTCTGACAGTGATTTCTCTGTGTTCCCCCACAATGCCTCACTCCACCTCCTCACATTGTCTACCTTAACCATTGACATCCTCACCCATTGTTACTCTTTAATATCGACAATCTCTATCTCCTTCATTTTCTCATTTCGTATCTCAATTGACTGATTGCTCTTAGCTAACTCCACAGGCTTCTGTTTTCATGTAACAAACATAGTATATCTCCTCTTCTACCCCACATTGTCTTATTTCATCCACCTAAACAGAGCTATTCCAATTTCTTTTATTTTAAAATGTGCAACTAAGTCATTTCTTAAATCCCAGGTTTGTGAATTATCTTCAGAGTCTCTTCCGCTGTGGGATTCTACTGATCTGCTGCTCATTTTATTTGGAAACCATCCAATCATAAAGTAATTAAAGGTATTATTTTCAACATTCCAACAGATTCTTTCTTCATTGAATATCATTAAAAAAAAGTGACCTTCTATACTTTACTCACAAGAATCACTATCCCACTGTCTATCACTCTGCCCCCTTTACTCACATGATACAACTTGCTGTAATTCTTACCTCCTAAATACTACCTGTAGAGGACAGACAACTCAAAGCATTCACTTTTGTTGTCAACTTCTTTGTCTCATCTCTTCTCCTGTCATCTGCCTTAATTTATTTAGTATGTATAATTTATCTTGCTCCTTTTCTCCTTGATAATTTTGAAGGACTTTGCTTGTCTAATTGGTTGTACTAACCTAAAAACAAAAACAAATCAGTAACAAGCTAGTTACTGGGCCTTTAAACAGTGCAGGGTTATCCATCCTAAAGAAAGAATTACTCAATTTCAAGAGTTTTCCCAGCACGTCCGGTGGAAATTATAGTTTTACAATGACATCATCTTATTGGCCGTTGATAAGCACAGGCTCCAAATGTTCGTCTTTGGAGACCATTGATATTTTTATTAGATCTATAATTAGACAAATAATTACATTGTTGTAAAATGTGGCATATTTCCTGTGTGCTGTCTACTCATACTTGACATTTTTAAACCTCTTGACATTCTTAACCCCTCTCCATTTATTTTTTTCTACTCTTATACAAACTTATTTGTAAAACAGACAGTAACTAGGTCAGCTTGAACACTAGTATATTTACAGATGTTTTATTTGCTTATACACTTCTTTTTACTACATAATCATGACACGTGTGACTACGGTTGACTCAAAGTTCCATCAGACCATTTTCATAGTCATTTTCCAAGTGATCGTGCAATAGTTGGTTGAAACAAGCATGTAATCCAACTAAACCCCATGATGAGGTCTTTAACAAGTGTGTGTGTGTGACTGCATGTATGTGAGTTTCGGTGTATGTGTGTGTCAGTGTGTTTCTGTTAGTGTGAATGTGTCAGTCAGTGTATTTTGGTATCTGTAAGTGTGTATATTTGTCTCTGACATTGTCTATCGTGTATCTGACAACATGTGTTACTGAATCTCCATGTTTGTTTGTCTTTCTAGCAGTTGTATCTCTGAGTGTGTCTGAAATATCTGTGTATATATATATATATATATATATATATATATGTGTGTGTGTATTATCAGTGTGTATTATCAGTGTGTATCCAAAAAGGCAACAGGGCTGCAATGAAGGGGATATGTTATGGGCCATGTCATGGCAAAAAGACAACATATATAGTAATTATACCTTATATAGTAACTAACCTCAATGATTTGCATTAACAATGAAACAGCTGTCCATGAGTGGTTTACTGGCTTTGCAGCTTTTCCTAAGTTGTGTTTCAATTGTTGTATACAGCAAACACAGACTCAAATGAATCCATGTTTAAAATGGAATGAGGCAAAAATATTATTCTTTGTTCAACTAATTTGCATATGCTCACCCAGAATCCTTTGCGGTAGTAATATCACTGCAAATTAGTGATTTCTATGGGAAAAGCAAGTCTTATGGCTTGACTGGTGTGCAGAGTTTTATATAACATTATATTAACTATCCACAGACTTCAGGTAGAAGGAGTTTTCAATCAAGTTTTTTTCCCCACCATAACCTTTTTGTTTTTTGCTTTCCAAGCACTACCAAGCCTCAATAGCAAACCAGTAACCAACCTCATGCTGATGATTTGTACCATAACCAACCTCATGCTGATGATTTGCATTAACAACGAAACAGCTGTCCATGAGTGGTTCACTGGCTTTGCATCTTTTCCTAAGTTGTGTTTCAAAGCTGTTGTCTACAGCAAACACAGACACAAAGGAATCCATGTTTATAATAGAATGAGGCAAATATGTGATTCTTTGTTAAACCAATTTGCATATGTCCACCCAGAATCCTTTACGGTAGTAGCATCACTCCAACAACAACAACAACAAACCGATTGATAGTGAAGGGATTAACCATGAATGGGGTTAGGCCTATTTTCAGCAATCACAGTCTAATACTAAAATAATTTTGCAAAAGGCATTTCTACAAACCACCTATCGATGCACGTTTGCTTAGTATTGCTGATGCATCTGAAGTCCCATTAAAAATGCAGATTTTCAGGTCACCTCACATGATCAACAGGGGATTAGTCAATATACAGATTCTATCTATTTCTATGCTAATGAAGAAGTCACTTGTGTTTATGTATACCACTCCTGACGAAGATTTAAGACAGACCTGTGCAACATGCGCAAGTTTCAGTTCAGGCTTTAACCCCTTAAGGACACATGACATGTGTGATATGTCATGATTCCCTTTTATTCCAGACGTTTGGTCCTTAAGGGGTTAAAGGAACACTCAAACGTTAAAAACACAAACCTGTTTTTCTACCGTATTGAGATGCATTGACTCAATACATCTTTATCAACAGCGTTTGGCCTCTTTATGAAATGTAAAATTATGATAAATATGTTTCAATCTTCTATTAATAGCTCTCCTACATCCTAAATTGAACTCCCTTGCATCAGTCAATAATGGGCAAAAATTTGCTGCTCAAGCTACTTATGTGCTGGCACCATGTATCAACTTATGAACTAATGCTATCAAGTAGTAACTCTAAGAACAACTTCACCCCAGTGCCAGACGACGTTGATCAACTTGTAACACTAAGATGACAAACGATGATCACACAAACTATACAGTATTCTGTCTCAGAGCAAAGTTTCAGTCCCAATTAGTCTCTTGTCGTCATTGTACTATGTACAATGTAAGACCACTTTTACTTACCCAGCTGTGTCTCCCCAGTCACACCACAAACTTTTACCCAGCACCTCCATTTCTAACTCGAAGTGCTGTAAACAGAACTCGTTCATAACACTCGCGTAAATAGCTTCATCGCAGCCTGCAACAGACATCAATGGAGGGGCTGAAAGAGAAAACAAGATGGAATTTAGCAACCTTGCTGGGAAAAGAAAAATCTACTAATAATACGTAAAACTTGACTTTCAAGATTTCTTTTTAAAACTCTAGCATTTTCTATACAGTTTGTTACTTAAAAGAGAAAGACAAGAAGGAGTTATACTCAGTCAATTGCTAATAATCAGAGCATTCTATTAATACAACTGTGGTAGTACTGTTAATAACATACTGTGTGTATATACTTACATGTATATATGTGTGTGTGTGTGTGTATTATTTATATGTCAGATCTGTCATCTGTCGACACATGCAAATGACTTTACCAAGCTTCAAAGCGCATACATAGTGACAGATGATGACAAGGTAGGTGCTGCAATTTGCGTTGAAGAAAATATTGGTACAAGGTTTTGACTCATCTGTCTGAATATGGATGTGTTTACAGCTGTCACTTACAATGAAATAGTATGAATTGGGTCACTGCACACCAATGTCTTGCAGAGTTATATGCAATAACCCGGTGATTGTAACTTACGTCACATGTCCATCATTCAAGCTGCAAACATGCTAGCAAGATAGTTAATTTGAATTGCAAAAAATATTGATATATTTCTATTGATCTGCCTATATAATGATGTTTATTATTGTTCAATTAAACAAAACCAGCAGTGTCATGTGTAATACAATGTCATTATCACGTACCCAGCTCATTATGTGTGCAACCTGAATTTTTTTTTTATAAGAGGCAAACTTTTATAAAATACTTACTCAACTTACTTTTTAATCCCTTATAAAGATTACATTTTTTAAAATGGCACAAAACCAAAATATTTTTTTCTGTAGTGATAACCAGGTGTGTCCCATTTTTTGATCTTTTGAGCTCAGTCATAACTCAAGCTGACACAAAGTGTAGGTTGAGATCTAAATAGCGAGATAGGGGCTAAATGGGACACCTAGTACACCCCTTATGATCCCACCCCACTCTATCTATTCTTCTAATTAAATGCCTTGTGTCATGGGATAACAATATATTTGTAGGGCTAGATAATAATAATGGTAATAATTAGTGGCATCTCTAGACTTTGTGAGGCCTCAGGCAAAACTCAAACATGAGGCCCCCACTAACACCCATAGTGGAAAAAAATAGGGGTTGCATTGTGTGTGTATAAGGAGCAGTAGTTGAAGGCGGGCTTGCAGTACTGTTCAGCGGATTGCATTGTTGTGGCTCACTGTGCTGCTGCATTGTGAGCTCTCTGATTGTAGTTATGGCAAAATTTGCAAACTAAATTAATTTGCAATAAACAAATTTAATTGGCAATTAAACCAATTTATACACAAGTATCTGGTATTGTTGCGTAGCCTTGCAGTTAGGTATACATAAATCCTTATGTGAATGTATTTTGAATAAAAAAAAAAAATTTGGTTGGGGTTGAGTGGGACAGGAGTAGGGATGAAAGTGACATGATTTGGAGTGAGTATGAAAGGATTGGGGATGAGTGTGGCATGGTTGGAAGAGGGAGTGTGACAGGGTGAGGGGATGTAAGTGTGACAGGATTAGAGGTGAAAGTGACATGTTACAGAGGTTAATGTAACAGGGTGAGTGTGGCAGGGTTTGGAGTAAGTGTGAAAGGGTTGGGGATGAGTGTGGCATGGAAGAGGGAGTGTGACATGGCGATGGGATGTAAGTGTGACAGGATTAGAGGTGAAAGTGACATGTTACAAAGGTTTATGTAACGTGAGTGTGGCAGGGTTTGGAGTAAGTGCAAAAGGGTTGGGGATGAGTGTGGCATGGAAGAGGGAGTGTAACAGTGCGAGGGGAGGTAAGTGTGACAAGATTGGGGGGGCTAATGTGACAGGGTGAGTTTGGTATTGTTAGGGGGGACAAGTGTCACAAGGTTGGGATGGCATGGTTGGAGGAGGGGGTGTAACTGGATTAAGGGGTTTAATGTGACAGCATGAGTGTGGCAGAACAAGGGGGTGAGTGTGACAGGATTAGAATAATGTGATAGGGTTACTAGAGCATGGTTGGCAGGGTGAGTGCAACAGACTTGGAGGGGTTGAGTGTGACAGGGTGAGTGTGGCATGGTTGGGAAGAGGAGTGTGACAGGATTTGTGGAGTTAATGTGATAGCGTGACTGTGGCAAGGTGAAGGGGTACGTTTGACAGAGTGATGGAGGATGAGTGTGACAGTACAAGAGAAGGTGAGTGTGAAAGGATTAGGAGGGGTCAATGTGAGTGAATGTGTGTGGGGGTATCAGCTTGTGGAGAGACTGTGTTACAGTGACCAGCCTCCCCACAATGTAATACCCTTTTATCTTATTGGGCAGGGGGTTGCAGTAATAGATTCCCTAGTGGTCCAGTTGACTCCCTGGCATTCCAGGGCTAGGTACCCAGTCTGCAAATCTGCCGGATGCAGAGTTGCAGACCAGGAGGGATTTGTCTCGCTAGCTATGGTACTTGTAGTGTAAGAGCTTTGCTGTGGTAACCTGTTGCATCACTCTGATTGGCTAGAGCTCACTGACAACTACTTCATGGTCTGTAACTTTTCAGTCTGCAGAGCTGCAGATCAAAGGCTGCTTGGCTGTTCCTCACCCTGTGCCAACTGAGTGGAGGGGCCCCAAATGGTGATTTTATTCACAGATTAACTAAGAAGTCATCAATAGAGGGGAAAAATGAGAAGCAGTAAAAAAATCCATAATATTTAGTTTATATATAAATAAAAAATTGATTTTCTCACCCCTCCTGGGTGGTATGTTTACTCCTCATTCTCGGATCCTCTACCAGAGGCCTGGGAGTTTGAGGGTTCTGCGCAGTATCTTAGCTATTCCTAGTACTGCACTCTTCTGGACAGCGATCTCAGATGTCCCACCTGGAATCTGTTGAAGCCACTCCCCCAACTTGGGAGTCACAGCCCCGAGTGCTCTTATCACAACTGGGACTGCTACTGCCTTCACTTTCTACATCCTTTCTAGTTCTTCCTTGCTATTTGTCCACCTTCTCATGTTCCTTCTTCCTGATGTTGTAGTCAATGGGTATTGCCACATCCACCACGACTGCAGTCTTTCGTTACTTGTCTACCACCATAATGTCTGGTTGGTTGGTCAACACTTACTTGTCTGTCTGGATCTTGAAGTCCCACCGGATCTTAGCTCTGTCATTCTCAACTACCCTTTGTGGTATCTCCCATCTGGACTTGGGCAGGTCCAATCCATATTCTGTGCAGATGTTTCGGTACAAAATCCCAGCAACTTGGTTGTGTCTCTCCGTGTATGCTGTTCCTGCTAACATCTTGCATGCGGCTAATAGGTGCTGGACTGTTTCAGAGGCCTCTTTGCATAGTCTGCACCTTGGGTCTTGCCTGATGTGGTAGACTCCAGCTTCTATTGATCTGGTGCTGAGTGCCTGCTCCTGTGCTGCTAGGATTAGTACCTCAGTGCTGTCTTTCAGTCCTGCCTTTTCCAACCACTGGTAGGATTTTGTCATGTGAGCCACATCCACTATCTGCCAGTGGTACATCCGATGGAGAAGTTTGTCTTGCCAAGGAACCTCCTCTTTTTGCTACATCCTCAATCTGTGGAAGTCTCAGGCATTCCCTTAGCAGTTCATCTTTGGGAGCTATCTTTGATGGCTCCCAAAGATAGATAGATATATATATATATATATATGTAAAAAACAGATAAAATTCGTATCTTGTAATACCTTTTTTATTGGATTAACAGAATTTTTTAATGACAAGCTTTCAGGAGAACCTCCCTTTCTCAAGTCTGAAGCATTTCACCCAGTGTACCTCTGCAATGAGAACATCGACAAAAGAAGATATTTGAAACAGTATGTGCCTATTAAGTCCAGCATAGAGAACAAGCATGAGAACCCACTGAGATGTCAAAATGTTATCGCTTCCACAGATCTTTGTGTTGAACAAGGAACAATAGCCAGAAAATGACTAACTGATAATGCAAAGGAATAAGAGGTTAAGCAGACCCTTCATCACAGATATGTTAATTAGGATGCGCTCCAAGCACACTGTGTTTAAATGATTTACATTGGTCTTTAATCAATCTCTTAACAAAATCTAAAAACATATTCAAGGAAAACAATGTTGAAACGGTCTATATATACACTATCTATACTTGAAGCTAATAGGTATCATCACAGATGTAATGTAATATTAAATGCTCACCTATGTATCTCTTTTCTAACTTTGCATTTAATTGGCATGTTATGCAGAAATATCACGAATAAAACATAATTGTACATCTCTTGGTATCATGCTATAAGCATACTAAAGCTACAGGGCTATGTGGCTAAGCAGGGGTGGGGGTTGGGGGGGGATAAAGTATCTGGAAGATACATGAACTGATTAGATCCGATAAATTACACATCATACATGAGCACACACGTACAACATTAGGAACTGCTTCTAGTAAGTTCAATAGCAAGCATTTCAATGAAAATTAATATTGCCAGTATTAAGTTACCAACCACGAAGACTGCTCTTCAAACATAAGCTGGCCAAATCCCCAGCAAAGATTAGCTTTAGCTTAAAAAGACAATGGATCCCTTTTAAAACCTTATTAAATACTGTGCATTCTGCTCAAATCAAACAGGCATTGCATGCAAAAAAAAAAGAAGAAGAAAAAAAAAAAAGATACTAACTACCAGCACTGTCCTCATGTTTTACCTTAGAAAGAGTATCAGGGTTCTTTATTAAAGAGAGAATTTTGGGGAATTCAACATGAATTTAAAATTGAAATCCAAAATAGCCACACTGGAAAGATTCTCCAAGTCTGCTATGATTCCAGTTCAGCTACTTTGATCTTTTAGCAATTCTCAGTTTACAGAATAACCATGATAATAAAACAGTGGCAGAGCTAATATAGTTAAGGCTCTGGTGCAAGAAATAGTTTTGAGCCCCCATCTAACGCAAGGGTGGCCAAACGGTAGATCCCCATCTGTCATACAACTCCCACAATGCTATGCCAGCCGGAGAGCTACGATTCGCCCATTCTTGCAGGCTTGTATTTGTGAGCAGTGTTTGTGAATGTAAGAATGTTTTGTATAGAGTATATGTGTGCATGCAGGCAGTGGTGTATCCTGGTTTTGTGCTGCACACACACACACACAGTCAGACACAAACACAGACACTCTCCCTGGGGGTCCAGTGGCTGATGGGCTGGCTGCTGGGCGGGCGGCTGGCGAGGGAGCACTTCCCCTGAGCACTCTGCTCAGCTCCCTCGCACACCGCAGAGTGAGGCCGGGAGCCGGAAGATGACATTACTGGGAGGGAGGGGGAGAGTATTACTGGGAGGGAGGGGGAGTATTACACAGGGGAGGGAGGGAGAGTATTACAGGGAGGGAGGGAGATATTACAGGGAGGGAGGGAGAGTATTACAGGGAGGGGAGGGAGAGAGTATTACAGGGAGAGTATTACAGGGATGGGGAGAGTATTACAGGGAGGGAGGGGGTAATATTACAGGGAGGGAGGGGGAGAGTATTACAGGGAGGGAGAGTATTACAGGGAGGGAGGGAGCGGAGAATATTACAGGGAGGGGGAGGTGAGGGTCTCTGGGGGTGTTACACAGCGCGGACACCAGCTGACAGACTGGCTCTAAGCCCTACCCTGAAAATAAGCCCTAGTGTGTTTTTTGTGACTAAAATTAATATAAGACCCGGTCTTATTTTCGGAGAAACACGGTACAAACACATCCCTGCATTCAAACGCAAGGATTACACACAAGCATACCACTGCATTCCAGTGTTAACATTATATACAAATACACCCCTACATGCAGGGACGTATTAGCCGCGAGCCCCGTCCCTGTAATATTATCCCCCCTCCCTCCCTCCCTGTAATACTCCCCCCCTCCAATCTTCTCCTCACCTCCCCTGTAGCGTGGCCGAGCTCCTATCCGGTCCGCGACCCGGCCGGACTGACAGGAAGTGCAGTGTGCACTTCCTGTCAGTCCGGGCGGGTCGCGGACCGGAAAGGAGCTCGGCCACGCTACAGGGGAGGTGAGGTGAGGCAGTGCGGCAGCCGTCTGAGCGCTCTCTATAGAGCGCTCAGGCGGCTGAGGCATTTAAAGGGCCGGCAGCCGCCGGCCCTGCCTAGGTCTTATTTTCGGGGTAGGGCTTATATTGCAGCCCACCCCGATAATCCAGCTAGGGCTTATTTTCGGGGTAGGTCTTATTTTCGGGGAAACACGGTATGTAGTGTTGGCTTTTAAATGCAGGTGTACATTTTTGTGTAGTCAAAATGAAAGATACAAATACAGAGTCCGAGCGTGTCACCCAAAGGAATACCAAGTAACTCACAAAACACCCGTGTGGCAACCTCTCTTATCCACACTAAAACAAAATAGAAATATATACATACATAGTGGGTGGGGTATCTCGGTCCAGGGTAACAGATGGTAATACAAATACAGATATAGATGGAATAGCTGTAAAAATACAATAATAAACAGGCACCTAGTGCAATATCGTACAGTATGAGAATAACACAGTATAGAATCAATGTTGTTGTACTCACAAGGAGAGAGCCAGAAAGTTATGGCTCAATCTAGGCGCCCGTGGGATAATCAAAAGGGATCCCACTCCCTTGATATGTGTGGGTGGTCCTCTGTTGGTCCCAAGAAGGAATATCCACATCAGTTGTTTTTAAGGACTAAGTAACTTTTAATAATCAAACAAAAATAAAATATAAAATATGAATAAAATAGCAATAAAATGCAATAAGTAAGTCCTCTGTGGGATGCAAGACGCGTTTCGCCTAAGTCCTAGGCTTCCTCAGTTGCTGTTGTTACCTTCTACTGATGCTCTTTTATATCCAGTATGTTCAGCAAATTCATCCGTTTCATGTTGGCGCGATTTCACTTCCGGTCGCATGCTTATGGCGTACTTCCGGTTCGCGGCTTCTACGTTCAGTCACTATTGGAACGCATATGCGTTCCACTCGTATGCAAGTGCGTTCACATCCGGTCGTGCACTTGTGACGCACATCCAATACGCCACTTCTTCATTCAAATCGTTTATTGGAACGCATGTGCGTTCCACTTTTATAAAAACTTTGTTATTCATTTTGTCTATTGGGTATTAAATCATACACTCAAATTACTATAAAACAGAGAGAGATTAAAAATGTCATACATGAACAAAAATAATACAATATGTAAGAAGAAAATGTTAATCCATCAATATTAAAAAAGTATTAAAAAATAGATTAAAACATACTAATGTTAAAAAAGATTTATACATAGTATGTAAAAAGATAAGCACCACATATACACTTCATGTTAAAAAAATGTAGTACAATGTAGCTAAGTATTAAGAAAGTGGCATATAATTATATAAAAAAGTTAGGGAAAGAAGAAATGAAATTTATTTTAAATTTTAATACTCTGATACCAAATGGACTTAATTTAGATTTTGAAATATGCCACTTTCTTAATACTTAGCTACATTGTACTACATTTTTTTAACATGAAGTGTATATGTGGTGCTTATCTTTTTACATACTATGTATAAATCTGCTGGCTAAATATAAAAGGAGTGTGGGTCTGGATCGAGGTCCCCCTCCTTTCGTGTTGCCACCTCACGCTCCTCCTCCCTTCCGTACGGCTGTCCTTGTAGCCTAGAGAAAGTAACATGTGCTCACTTCCTTCCAACTCTGCCGATGTTAAAGGTAGCACTGTTAGTGGCGCGGTACCTGACTGTGCCCCTGTTCAGAGATACTCATCGGGTGGCCCTAAATGCATGGGGCACCCAATGAGCCCCCTCAGTGTGCAGACCTCGGTGCAGCCACTGGTCCTGAACGTCCTTTTTGTGTCGTTTTTCACAAGAATCAGATCTGTATCTATCCTGGCTGCTAAAAGCGGTTTTACAATCTATTGAATCACAAGGTGTACTATGTTTTTACAGGGTAGCATTTTCATGTTCTGACAATCAACATGATGAAATTATATGTGTCCCAGAAAACATGGTGGATATGGCAACCTTATTAATATACACATGCACAGGGCCGGCCTTAGGGGTGTGCGAGCTGTGCGACCGCACAGGGCGCCATGGAACAGGGGGCGCCCTGTGGCCGACACAGCTCACTCATGGCCGGCCTCCACCCGGGTCTATTAAAAAAATAAAAAAAAATAAAAAAATCGCGGCAGAGGGGGCGGGGTTTACCGAGCGGCGGAGGCGGGGCTTATCGAGAGGCGGAGACGGGGCTAATACCTCCCGAAGCCCCTGCTGTACAGGAAGAGGGAAAGATGCTTCACCATCAGCCAACTGCATCCACTGGAAAGAGGTAAGTGTGTGTGTGTGACTGTTTGCCTGTTTGTGTGACTGTCTGTGTGTGTGTGTGACTGTCTGTGTGTGTGACTGTCTGTGTGACTGCCTGTGTGCGTGTGACTGTCTGTGTGTGTGTGTGTGTGACTGTCTGTGTGACTGCCTGTCCTTGTGTGTGTGTGTGTGACTGTCTGTCTCTGTGTGTGTGTGTGACTGTCTCTGTGTGTGACTGCCTGCCTGTGTGTGACTGTCTGTGTGTGTGACTGTCTGTCTGTGTGACTGCCCATGTATGTGACTGCCTGTGTGTGTGACTGTCTGTCTGTGTGACTGTCTGTCTGTGTGACTGCCCGTGTGTGTGACTGCCTGTGTGTGTGAGACTGTCTGTCTGTGTGACTGTCTGTGTGTGTGACTGTCTGTCTGTGTGTGTGACTGCCTGTGTGTGTGACTGCCTGTATGTGACTGCCTGCCTGCCTGTGTGTGTCTGTCTGTAACTATCTGTCTGTGTGTGACTGCCTGCCTGTGTGTGTGACTTTCTATCTGTGTGACTGCCTGCCTGTGTGTGTATAACTGTCTATGTGTGTGTTACTGTGTGTCTGTCTGTGTGTGTGACTGCCTATGTGACTGTCTGTCTGTGTGTGTCGCTGTAGCTGTGCCATTGTTTGTGCCTGTGCCTGTATGTGTGACTGCCTTTAACTGAGTGTGTGTGTACATGCCTGTAACCGAGTTTAAATTTCCCCCACCCCTTCCTGTCAAGGCCGCACTTTGACTGACAGACGCTCACTCACTGACAGACGCACACTCACTGACAGACACACACTCTCATATACACTGACAAACAATGACATACACACATACACTATTACTTGGACACACACTGACAGATGCACACTCTCACTGACAGACGCAAGCACTCACTGAAAGATGCACGACTCCACTGACCGACACATACACACTGACTGACACACACTCACTGACCGACACACACTCACTGACCGACACATACACACTCACTGACCTACACACTCACTGACCGACACACACTCACTGACCGACACATACACACTCACTGACCTACACACTCACTGACCGACACACACCCACTGACGACACATACACACTCACTGACTGACACATACACACTCACTGACGACACATACACACTCACTGACTGACACATACACACTCACTGACTGACACATATACACTCACTGACCAACACACACATTCACTCACAGACACACACACATTCACTCACAGACACACACACATTCACTTACAGACACACACAATTACACACTTACAGACACACACACATTCACTTCAAAATAAACACTCACAGACACACACATTTCCACTAACACTCACAAACTAATATTTTTTACATTTATTTTAAATCCACCCAGCCTCCCTGGGAAAGCTGGAGTGGATTTCTTACCAGCAGTCCAGTGTGGCTGCTGGGCAGGCAGGCAGGGGGCGCACAGGCTGAGTAAGCAGCGCTTAGTGATGCCGGGAGCCGGACTGACGTCATATTCTGGCTCCCGGCTTCATTAAGCGGCGCAGAGGAAGCTGAGCAGGAAGAGCTCAGGTGAGTATGCTCCTTCGCTGCCCGCTGCCAGCCTTGGGGGGGCTCAAAAGTGGCCAGCCGGTCAGCTCTTGAGCCCCCAGGATGCGAGGCAAGCAAGGGATCTGCCTGGGGGTTTGGAGGGATGCTTTTTTTTGCCGCCCCCTGCAAAGTGGCGCCCAAGGCAGATGCCTTGTTTGCCTCGTGATACACACGTCCCCGGTGCCTGTGTGTGTTACTGTATTCAGGCAACTTGGTGGGAGGTGGGGGGGGCGCCGTGAAGACTTTTTGCACAGGGCGCCTAATTGCCTAAGGCCGGCCCTGCACATGCAGTAATACTAAAAATAAGACTGAGAAAAGCCAAATCTGCACATACCACCTTGAAACACTACTGTTCCACTTGACTTGGTTGATGTGTCAGGCTGAAATGTTGTCTTTCATGTTGCGGATGGCTGAATCAGCAGGTAATTTGTATGAAGAAATCCTGGACCTTTATTTTTATCGCTAATGATTTACAAACTATTTTAAGAACCATTTTAAACATACAATGAGAACCTAATGTTAGAATACATAAACACACTACATCAGACCAGTAGAGCCAGCTGCAGTTACCAGTGGTGACTCATCTGCCACTACAAATATCGTGGATGAAATATGAGGAGATAAGGGAGTAACAATTTTTGTGGCACATCTCACTATTTTCGATGTATATGAGCACTTGTTTCACAACCACATAACCAAATTAACTATGAAACCAATCTAATGTCCAAATTATTATTCATGCAGAAAAGCAGTATGGTTTGCATACATATTTTCTATTTATATATGGTGCCTAGGTCACTTCATGTTGCTTGTATTATCTTTGAGATCAGTTGGACAGAAGGCAGGATGATGTTTCTCCTAAAAAAAATCTGGGTATGGAAGTAAGTGCTGAGACTGTCCAATTTAAAGTTGTATATAACTTATTTAAAAAAATAAAAATAAATTGTCGCAAGTCATATGTATTTATATATTTTTTCCACAGCATAGTGACACCCACAGACCTCCGAGAATGGTGGTGCTGGAACAAAGGACTGCAGGTAACTAAAGATGTAATAGCTCCCAAGGCAACTAAAAACTATGGAAAATTATATACATAATAATCCAAAAGTCAAGTACTTAATGTACCTCGATGCAGCACTCCAGGCTCAGAAATATATTTCAAGATCAGTTGCACATGAGGGATTTGTAGAAAACTTATTTTATTTTATTTTATAGGCATTATGGATTAATAACATAATAACATTTTTATTTCTACAAATTCCCCATGTACACGCCTCATCTTGAAATGTCTACATTATATACACACACAGTAGCTCACAAAAGTGAGTACACCCCTCACATTTTTGTGAATATATTTAATTATATATTTTCATGAGGCAACACTGAAGAAATGACACTCTGCTACAATGTAAAGTAGTAAGTGTACAGCCTGTACAACAGTGTGAATTTGCTGTCGCCTCAAACTAACAACACAGCCATTAATGTCTAAACTGTTGGCAACAAAAGTGAGTACACCCCTAAGTGGAAATGTCCAAATTGGGCCCAAATTGTCATTATTTTGTGTGGCCACCATTATTTTCCAGCACTGCCTTAACCCTCATGGGCATGGAGTTCACCAGAGCTTCACAAGTTGCCACTGGAGTCCTCTTCCACTCCTCCATGACGATATCAGCTGGTGGATGTTAGAGACCTTGAGCTCCCCCACCTTCCATTTGAGAATGCCCCACAGATGCTCAATAGGGTTTGGGTCTGGAGAAACGCTTGGCCAGTCCATCACCTTTACCTTCAGCTTCTTTAGCTAGGCAGTAGTCGTCTTGGAGGTGTGTTTGGGGTCGTTATCATGTTGGAATACTGCCCTGTGGCCCAGTCTCCGAAGGGAGTGGATCATTCTCTGCTTCAGTATGTCACAGTACATGTGGGCATTCATGGTTCTCTCAACGAACTGTAGCTCCCCAGTGCTGGAAGCACTCATGCAGGCCCAGACCATGACACTTCCACCACCATGCTTGACTGTAGGCAAGACACACTTGTCTTTGTACTTCTCAACTGATTGCCGCCATACGCTTGACACAACCTTAACCAAATAAGTTTATCTTGGTCTCATCGAATCACAGGACATGGTTCCAGTAATCCATGTCCTTAGTCTGCTTGTCTTCAGTAAACTGTTTGCGAGCTTTCTTGTGCATCATCTTTAGAAGAGGCTTCCTTCTGGGACGACAGCCATGCAGACCAATTTGATGCAATGTGCGGCGTATGGTCTGAGCACTGACAGGCTGACCTCCCACCCCTTCAACCTCTGCAGCAATGCTGGCAGCACTCATACATCTATTTCCCAAAAACAAATGCTGGATATGATGCTGAGCTTGTGCACTCAACCTCTTTAATCGACCATGACGAGGCCGGTTCTGGGTGGAACCTGTCCTGTGAAACCGCTGCATGGTCTTGCCCACCGTGCTGCAGCTCAGTTTCAGGGTCTTGGCAATCTTCTTATAGCCTAGGCCATCTTTATGTAGAGCAGGGGTTCTCAACCCAGTCCTCAGAACCCCCTACCAGTCCAGGATTTGGGGATTACCTGGGTGTGTCTCAGGTGTTTAGAAAAAGGGAAAAAAACACCTTAGACTCTAAGGTGTTTTTTTTTTCTTTTTCTAAACACCTTAGACACACCCAGGTAATCCCTAAACCCTGGACTGGTAGGGGGTCCTGAGGACTAACGTTGAGAACCCCTGATGTAGAGCAACAATTCTTTTTTTTTCCAGAGTTCTTTGCCATGAGGTACCATGTTGAACTTCCAGTGACCAGTATGAGAGAGTGTGAGAGCGATAAGACCAAATTTAACACACCTGCTCCCCATTCACACCTGAGACCTTGTAGCACTAACGAGTCACATGACACACACCGGGGAGGGAAAATGGCTAATTGTGCCCAGTTTGGACATTTCCACTTAGGGGTGTACTCACTTTTGTTGAGAACGGTTTAGACATTATTGGCTGTGTTATTATTGGTTTAGTTATTTTGAGGGGACAGCAAATTTACACTGTTATGCAGGCTGTACACTTACTACTTAAAATATTTACAAAAATGTGAGGGGTGTACTCACTTTTGTGAGATATATATATATATATATAGTATGTATGTATAAAAATAATTTAGTGCCTTGGGAGCGGTTAACTCTGAATAACCCAGTAAGTATAATACATGTATATTATATTAAATCTAAATTATATAACTCTTTTACTGTTTCTATGTATTTATAATGTGTATATATCTACAACTTTGCAGTGTGGCTGCTTTTGAGGACATGAAAAAAATATCTGCATGAGACATTTAAAAGCAGACTCTGGGTCCATAGAAGCAGTTTGCTTCTGTTGGGAATGTGAATACTCTGCTAATGTACAGAATTATTCATCTTTGTCCCCATTGCAGTTTTTTATTGACTTGGCCCTGACAAGAATTTCCATCTTTCTGGCCAGCTTTCTTCTTCTAAACCAATTCTAAATTAGTTCTTAACTGGTAAAACACTTCCTACATAAATATATAATGCTCATATATGTTTTATAATAAATGGAAGGATTCCTTGTTTCCATGAGTTTCCATATTGTAAATATTTTAGTTTTTAATCGAATTGTATGGTGACTTATTACCTTTTCATATACATGTTTTTTTCTGTGTTTTTCTGAGAATAGTTCTAACTACCCACATGTATATTTTTTCAAGGCAATATTGCATTCAAGACAAAATCTATTTAGGTTAAATCTTACACAAATAATTTTGAAAGCATCCAAATGTATAGATCTTATTCACATAATCTTTTTAGATTCTAAAATGCATTAAACTACAAGCAATATTTTTGATATTTACGGTTCCAGGAGACACTTCTGTTATTCTATGAGGTTGGCTTTTTACACCCACGCAGCCAATGTTGTATGTTCTCTAGGCGTTGCCACAATATTTTACTGACTGATTTTATTTATGTGTTTCATTAAAGTTAATGCATATACCTTGTTTTCTTGTTTGTTTGTTTTTGTCGTTCTTTTTTTTGGTTCGGTTTTGAATTTTTTTAAAAAAAATTATTGGATGATAAAGAATAGATATGAATTTGAATGTGCAGTACAATTCATTATATTGTGCACTCTGAGTACATTACCATCAAAAATGTAAAATTCTAATGTTTTTAAATAAACAGCCAGATATCAAGATTAATAAGTCGTGATTTTAGTTTTGTTCAAAAGTATAACAAGCTAACCCAAGCTCATGAACAAACTAACTGCCCACAAAGATCAAACAGGGGGAATAATAATCTCATCCAAAACGACCAAAACAGTAACCAATCCATAATGTTCTATCAAGAGGCTTTTTTTGTTACATGAAACAAATGTGGGTCAAACGTCTAAGAGAAGGTCTATGACTACAGAAACATGAAAAATGTGGCAGCTAATTAATTAATTTACCTTTAGAACTTAGAGTTCTAGGACTGTTCTCACTGCTGTAACTCTGAAACTATCAGAACTCACTCAACTAATATATAAACATGGTAGGTGGGCTGTACTCCCCACTTTCCCCTTTCAAAGTTTTTTGCAATTAATGCTCAGGACTTAGAAAGTTTTTAATGTCTGCCAGCAGTTGAGGTATCTGTAATAGGGAATTCAGTGCTTCAAATATGTAGTTGTTTACATTAAAATACTATTTTTTATTATATGTTATATTGAGATAACTGACAATATAAAATTGTTGATATTTAAGAATGTAAGAAAATTATCTAAAAAAATTGAGAAGAAACAAGTGCATATATTTTACATGGTTCTACAGAATTAACTCTGAGTCACGTATACAGCATTAGTGAAATAATACATATATAATATGTATTTATACACATATAAATGAAAGAGAACATCAAAATCTGACAGAGAAACCCATCTAAAATGTGCTGAAAAGCATAATGCATAGCAATATATATGATATTCATCTAATAACAATTTTAAATATTCTTAATACCAGTACAGCTTTAAGATGACCATGTGTGTTCTGGGAGGCAGGCTAAGGTGCATGACCACAATTTTAGAGAGTTCCAGTTAAAACCAAGTTACCAACCAAATATCCACAGTCATCTGCTATCTAGCCATGAGATACAGCCCACAATTCATATTTCCCACCAGAGCCCAACATGTCTCATAATTCACCAACACATATATACATACAGACAAAAACACTCTCACACAATCATTCATGAATTTATACATTTGCAAATGTATCATCAGCATCTTTTTTGTAGGTGTTAAAAGATGTCAATGGCCATTTCTACTATGAAGGAGATCTCGTATGGGAATGAGCCTCAACCAGGCCAGAACCCTCTTTCCTCAGCTCTAAAACAATGCATTCATGGCAGAGCTGTGAGAGAAGTTTTGGAGGCTGTTTGAAGCTCTGTCCAATGCTAGAATATAGCAATTTCTAGATGTATTTGTAGTGAGATTATCACACACCCTAGCCTCACATGCACAGCCATTCACACCTTAGCCAATAGTCTCTCTCAAACACACACAGTTAGGCTTACAATCTGAGACACACACACACATGCACGCACACCTGCTCATAAGATAATTACTGAGGAAATATATTTATATTTTCTAGAAATGTTCCCTAAAGTATCTGCTTATTTTGTTTTACGATTAAGTTGGCTGACATTTTTCCTTATGTTTGAGAGTTCAATCCACTGCGCCCAATTTAGAACAGATGATAGTACATCACACAAACACTTTGGGAAATAAACACAATTAGTGCTGATGTGACTATGATAACTATGACATGATTTATAGGCTTACAACGCTTCAATCATGTTTCTTTAATAATTATTGCATTTGGCACTCTTCAATCACTATTGATCAACTCATATCTACCTCAGGGACCTTTTATCAATTTAAAAAGATCCTGTAGGCCCTATAACCATTTCTTCTCCTTGAATTGGTTAAAGTGTCTGGAGTCATCTTGCATTGTCCCTCCATTGAATGTTAAAGGAACGCTATAGGGTCAGGAACACAAACATGTATTCCTGACCCTATAGTTTTAAGCCCACCATTTAGGTGGCTTGCCCCCCTCAGCCCCCTTAAAAGGAATTAAAACTCACCTTATTTCCAGTGCCGCACAAGTCCGTCGGCGCTGGCCACGCCCTTGTTCCGCCTCCTTAATGACATCATCATAATTGACGGTTTTTAGCCAATCCAATGCTTTCCCATAGGGAAAACATTGGATTGGCTAAAATCAGCAAGGAGGTGAGGCGGGCCAAACACTGTTTTGGCCAATCAGCAATTCTTCACAGAGATGCATTGAATGAGGAACATTCAGCGTACCCATGCAGAGTGTGGAGATGCTAAATGGCAGTGCTGCCCACGGTGCAGCACTGCTCCAGGAAGCACCTCCAGTGGCCATCTGAGGTGTGGCCACTTGGAGGTGTCCCTAGGGGCAATGTAAACACTGCCTTTTTTTCTGAAAAGGCAGTGTTTCCATGAAAATGCCTGAAGGCAATGATTATACTCACCAGAACAACTACATTAAGCTGTAGTTGTTCTGGTGACTATAGTGTCCCTTTAGCCATATTTGAGCAGTTTAACACTGGGCATCCCATAATTCTGCCCTCACTGGAGGTGTGGCTAAGGCAGAGATTACACACATCCGATTCATAGCTCTAATACGTACTGGGATAGGCTGACACTCTCAGCCAATCACAACCACCCTTTCCTGTTCTTCACTAGCCAAAGAATCATAGAGATGATAGGTTGCTGGGCACTCTTGTTAAGCATTAAAATATAAAAAAATGGTTTAATGCTAAATAGAAGGACAGCAACAGGGGAATCCAGACCCTATAAACATTTCAATGCGATGAAGCAGATATGGTGCCTACGGATGCTATTTTACTGCATTTATGAACTTGGTTGAATAATACAGAAAATGATACAAAAGAAATATGCTTGGCAATTATTGAAATTGCACGGTAACTCCAGACAGGAATGTGCAAACCAATGCACTGTCAGATCATCCCATGAATAAATAATATATTTTTGTTTGATAACAGATGTAAAAAAAGCCACTTACACTATAACTCCACCCCAAGACCCTTCATTTCCAAATGGGAAAAGAATACCATATTAAAATGGAACACTCTATGCAGTATAACTGCTACAGAGTGACGGAACAACCAGGGTTGTGACAGTTGCTATTGCCTGTCAAGGGGGAGCCAGCCAGACTTGGGCTGGCCAGTGGACCAACGGGGAAAATGCCTGCTGGGCTGCGATGGGCATGGGCTGAGACCATCAGGGAAGATCAATGGATCTCTCTGGGCAGCTCCTGCAGGGTCAGCACTACTTCAGCTCCAGTCCAGAGAGGTTGCTCCATAGCTAGTAGGGGGATCAAAGTTCTCTCTCACGGGCTGGCCACCTTAATGCCAGAG